CTGGGAGGGGTGCTGTTGGGGGTGCTGTTCAAGATAATGATGACTCATAGATAATTAGTTATTAGCGGTACTGCATTTTAATTTTAGAAAGTGCAAATCCGCTTATGAAATATAAAAATTAGTAAAACTGCTAAAGTGCAAATGAAATAGTTAGGTCTGCAATTAGCGGATTTGCGCATTAGCGGACTGGTGCCCACCACTGCTTGTCACATATATGGCCCCTGCATGTATGCAAAGCACCAATGCACCAGAACTCAGAAGTCACCAGAACAGATATCGTTTTGGGTGGGGGTCTGAAGGTGGGGTTGGGGTGCGCTTGGTGGGCTTGTTGGATAGCCCTTCATCAGCACTAAACAAAAGAAAAAMCTGAAGCTCCAATGTTGAATAGTTTTTGAGTTATAAGCTTTTTTTGTATGTCCAGACACCCCCTGTTTAAATGGAGCCCCCTCCTCAAATATGGGGTCTATCATAAAACCGTTGGCTGGCACAGTSTACATTGCTACCAAATTCCATGTTGATTGTTGGAGCAATTTCTGTGATATWGTTGACCAAAAATCAATGAAAACAAWAAAAKGTAAACAGTACGAAAACAATAGAACCCCCACTTTGCGTGCGGGGGTCGTAAATATTAATATCTGGATGGCTCAGTGTACTCTAACCTCAGGGATGTTCGACATACAACTGTTCAGACTGGGGTTACTTTGAAAAACATTCACATGGTTCTGATTTAAGTAAAAAAAAAAACGATATGGGTCGCATGAAAAGAAAAATCTGATTTAGCTTTTTCTTTGCCTGCAGTGTGAGCTGCTAACACATAAAGGATTTCWGGTAACATAATGACCCCCGCACGRACCAATTTACCAGAACTCAGACTCTCTATTCCTGCCAAATTTCATGCTGCTAAGTGCATTTTATTGCCTTTTTTGGGGCCTCATCGGTGGGCCCGTCTGAGTTCTGGTGCTTTGCGTATGTGTGGGAGTCACACTGTATATGCTACCACTATGCTCCATCTAGTTTTCTAGTTTCACCAGAAGTCATGAMACCATTTTAGTGGGGATTTGTGAGACAGTTTTGAATCTGACCAACAGTTATGTGGTATTTTAATTTTACATGATCTACTTGTAGCATTTAAGAAACAGGAGGAACAGAGTTTAATTCTGACAGGACTGACAAGCTAACAGCTTAATTTAAATGCAGCCAGACTGGATTACTGCAATCTGTAAACAGTTGCAGTTTGCAAAACATTATAGTAGAGGAACCAAATGATCACTGAGCACCTGAGGAGCCTGTCCATTTAGGCATTTATAAGCAAGTGTTAGACTGGAGAATTTGACAAAGGATTTAAAATTCATCATGTTGTTTCTTCAGAAGATGACAGTGATGTGATCTGATGGGTTCCTGTCCAAGATCTGAACCGCTCTGTTATAAATTATTCTTAGAGGCTAAATGGTTGGAGCTGCTGCTCGAGACCAAGAGGTTACACTGTAACTTAAATGAAAAAAAAAATCATTATTGAGTGCATAAAACTGTTGGCAGCATGAAATGGTAAACAATCTCTATTTAATCAAAATGTGTGTAAATTTGCTTGTTTTTTAATAACAGTTTGAAAAAGCAGGACTGTGGTCAAGTCTGGCAAGAATTTCAGACTATGAAACTGGTGTTGATGTAAAGGTTTTAATAACAGAGTTTGTATGAATCTTTAAACATTTTTTTAGATTGTTTTAAAGCGGCTGCTGTGGTCTTGGCATCAAGCCGTCAACATCAATTCTGATCTGCACCAAGCTGTACTCAGCAGCTTTGGTCACTTTTTACCCACACTGTTTGGAGTGTGAAAGGAAACTGTGTGCCACAGGTTCCTTCATACTCACATTGACTTGCTTTGTATTCACACAGGCATCCACCCCAACCTAGATTATTTGATCTGCTGACTTTAATTTAATGGTTGTAATATTCTTTTTCTTACTGTGTTATTACTATGGCTGGCCCTAGCCTTGGACGTTTTCTGAAAAGTCCTGACTCTCAAACAGAAAAAAAATTAAAGCAGTTTTATTCAAATGTGACACAAAGTTCTMAAAATAAGATGAGAATTTATTATTTTTGCCTAAAAACACATGCAGGTTACGTTGTTTTGTTCTGTATTTCATATGAGCAGCTTCTGCTTCAGTGCAGCTTGATTTTTAATAAAATTTCAGCAAAGGTATACAAATGTGTTAAAATAAATTACAGCACTTCATCTTAGCTTATCATCCAGACATTAATGTTGTATATCTGCACACAGTAACAGTTCACATCCTGTATGAAACATCAATAATAAGYCCAAAGTTTACCATCTGTTTCTCCTAAATGATCTCATACAAAAACCTGTCTCCTACAGATAGGTTATTAAATCTTAGTAAATTTTCTGCAGTTTCACTTCAAAGTAGTCCAAACTCAATTAAAAAAATAGAAYAAATTTACTTTTTTTATTATTTTGAGAAGGTATTGAATAAATTAATTGGAAATACAATGTTTATCTGCTGTTTGACAGAAACACAGGAGACACTTAAGAGGACAGATAGGAAACAAAAGAGGAATTTATAAAAAAAAATGTACTGACAAGGAGAAAACATTAATAACAAACAGACACACAACAAGACTGGTTTTATCATCTTGTCTCATCTGAACCAKCTAAATGATGCATACCTCTGATTCTCCACCACAGGACCACTCAGACCTGCCCATTGGTGCTGCTGCCACCATGGCTCATGAGATTGGCCATAATTTTGGCATGAGCCATGATCACGATGGCTGCTGTGTGGAAGCCTCTGCTGAACAGGGAGGCTGTGTCATGGCTGCCGCCACTGGGTGAGTCTCAGACCAATCAACGAACTCTAACACAGACTAACACAGTATAACATTGCACAGTTAGGCTTCTCCAGTAACGTGTCTCTGTTTGCTGCCAGGCATCCTTTTCCTCGAGTCTTCAGTCGCTGCAGCAAACGGGACCTGGACAACTACTTCCAGAAGGGTGGGGGCATGTGTCTTTACAACATGCCCAACATGAAGGACCTGGTCGGGGGCAAGAAGTGTGGCAATGGCTTTGTGGAGGATGGAGAAGAGTGTGACTGTGGAGAACCTGATGTGAGCACATTTGATTACTTTTGTTTTTTAATAATTTCTACTAGATACCACATAGTGTTAACATAATGACAACCCCCCCCC